ATTTAAGTACGAAAAGTTAATCATGATTAGTGATTTAATCACGATTCAATACTTAAGTACGCTTCGTGAAACCAGCCCCAGCTCCCTTGGATTTATTTATTTTAGCCCAGATTCAACTGGAAATCGTAAACTGTTTCTCCCATTTCGGATACAACTACAGCAATCTTAGACAAAAGAGCCGAGAAAGGCTATCAGTCTTATGTTTTGTATGAATAACGTTGCGGTCGGTTTTATGTAAAAACAAAATTGGTTAAGGATATATATATGTTGCACGGGCAGCGCGGACAGACAGTGTGTGTGCACCACATTTCCTACATCTGGCAACTGCTTGTCTATGTTTAAAGGAGGCGTGCACAGACAGAACAGGGGGGAACTCTAAAGATGTACGGTTAGAATGGGCACTGGTGAAGTATAGCTGTAGGAGGATGAGGATGAGGAAGAGCAGGAGGAGGAGCAGCAGGAGGAGGAGGAGGAGGGGCAGGAGGAGAAGAAGGAAGAGAATGAGGATGGGGAGGATGAGGAGAAGAAGAGGAGGAGGAAGGAGAAGAAGAGGAGGAGATGAAGAGGAGGAGGAGGATGAGGATGAGGAGAAGAAGAGGAGGAGGAAGAGACGAAGAAGAAGGAGAATTCCGCAAACCCTTGTTCGTCTGCTCACCTCCTCATCGTCATCGTCGTCCTCGCTGGCGTCCTCCTCTATCGCGTGCTCATACTCCTCGTTCGTCTGCTCCTGGTTGTACGAATACGTCTTGTCTCCCACACTGCACACGACACATGAAAGAAAATGTCCGCGTTTACCAACACGGGCGAGAATTCCGACAGAAATGTTCAACAAACTAAACACTGTAATCAACTACTTTAATAGCCCGTCGAAATATACTCATGTTTACCCGGTAACAAATAGTAGTATGGCTAGTGTGTATGTAACACTGATCATGGACTCATGGTGTTTGTCTGTACGTACTCTCTCGCTCTCTCTCTCTCTCTCTCTCGCTCTCGCTCTCGCTCTCTCATCTTACTCTCCGCTCTCGTCGTCGTCTCCTCTCCTCATGCCGTCTCTCTACCTATCTCTCTCTCTCACTCCTCTCTTCTCGCTCTCTCTCTCATCTCTCTCCTCTCTCTCTCTCTCTCTCTCTCTCTCTAAGCCGTGAGGAGTACTAAGTACCCATCGCTGCGTGTCCTCGGCGCATGATTCGCATCTGCACACCTTGATCTGCCCTATAATTACTATTTACCTGACAGCTGGTAGGCACGTCTTGCTCCGGGTTGAGCGTAGGATTTGGTGGTCTTCATCTTACAACCTGGCTTCCCCGACGGCTTGCCCCTATCGTAGCGCAGTAGTCACTCCAGTAGACTGGCCGGTTTAGGAAGATGTCCTTGACACCAGCAGTAGATATTACATGGTAAGTAGGCTCAGTTATACTATAGATAGATAGAGGTCTAGTCGAGCTGTCAGTGGGGTTTGGACACGGTGAGGTTGCCACATCTCGGAATAAGTAATGACGCGTAATAAGGTTATGTGTTT